AAAAAACAAGGCCTTTTCACACTACTCATTAACTCTAGAAAGATGTTTCACCATGCTAAATATATCTCTCGGTGGACAACGTACCCCTCTGTGTACCACTTCTGAGTCATGCTGCATTTGTTTTATAGCTCAAGTATGTTTTAATTTCCTCTCAATCTACTTCATTTGGGTGCATACTTGTGTCCTTTCTGTTTCTGTGTAAACAAAGCCTGCAATTCAGTTCAGCCAGTTTAATTTTGTTGACGTTTTTTTAGGATAACGTGCCTTTAAAACCTGGGGGGGGGTTAAGTTGACGGATATCGAGAAGCTTACATTTTCAATTTCTCCTAACTTAACACTGATACGTCTTTATCTCCAGGGCAGTGCAGGCTTTGGCTATCAAGGGAAAAAGGGTGATCAAGGCCCACCTGGACCCCCTGGGCCCCCTGGCCCTCCAGGATCTGCAACCGAGTATTCAGTTGGAAGCGACGGCGCCGTTGTTTCGAGAGTCCCTGGACCCCGAGGGCCACCTGGATCACCAGGCCCCCAGGGACCACCAGGAGCTGAAGGAGAGCCGGTTAGTAGCCTGCAGATTAATTGTTTACTTCAAATGACTTCAATTCAACTAAAAAACAAAACAACTGTGCTAGTCACAGTGATTATGTTGAGAACCATGAACAATGTCAGCTTCATTCTATGTTTTTAAATATTTTCTTTTAAAACTTGAATATAAAGTTACATTTAATCGCACCTGTTGACTGAAATTTCGACCTATGCAGTTTGAACTATATATACATCAATGTTCTACAAGGATTTTTTATTTTATTTCAATCTTGCAGGGTGATCCTGGCGAGGATGGGAAAACTGTGAGTTGGTCTTATCTTTTATTTGTAACCCCAACAATAGTGACCAATGGCTTTGAATCTCTACATTTGGTGCCTCTTTCATGTTGAAAGACACCTATTCTGTTTATTCAGGGTGTGTAGTTTATTATACTTCATAACAACCTCTGGTGCCCTAACATTGTGATTTCCTCAACACAGGGCCCTGAAGGACCTCCAGGCTTCCCTGGAACTCCAGGTGACCCTGGAGCCAGAGGAGAGAAGGTTAGAAACATCAACAGAGTAACAGCCAAAAATTAAATAAAAAAAACATTGCAAAGAAGCAGAACTGAGCGTAGTAGACTTTCCTTGTCTTAATGAGTCTTCTAAATACAGGGAGACCGTGGAGAAGGTCAGCCTGGTCCCAGGGGACCCCCGGGACCTCCAGGACCCCCAGGACCAGGCCTCAGATCTGTGAGTTAATATTGTTTAGACATAAACAGACGACTGCCGACTTTTACTGAACACAACTGATTTTAAATAATATGTTTCAGACCTTTGTGGACATGGAGGGTTCAGGATTCCCAGATCTGGAATCTATTCGGGTAAGAAGAAATAAAACTTTCCTTCTCTCCTCAGAGACATGATCTAAGTTTGTGCTATGCAGGTAAAAATCTGATCTGTTCCATTTGTGCATATATACAATGTATGTAGGGACTTCCTGGGCCACCCGGTCCTCCTGGTCCCCCCGGCCTACCTGGTCTCTCTACAGGTGGCACAGGAGTGAGTTCTGGAGCATTTGGACCACCAGGAAAGGATGGAGCACCCGGTCAACCTGTACGTGTCTGTCTTATTGTCCTCCGAAACCACCAGTCACAATATTTCCTTAAACCCTAAAACTGTCTGAACAGCTCCACCAATGAGTACACAGTCTAACCAAATCAACCACTGCTGGATACCTGAACCTAATCTTTTGGCCTTTAGGGCTTGCCTGGTTTACCGGGTACTGATGGTCTTCCAGGAGTTCCCGGTCCCAAGGGAGACAAGGTAACGTCTTCATAGAAATGATTTCTCTAAATACTAACAAAATGTGATTTGTTTTGCTTCTCTAAAACTTAAACCTCCATGATGTGGACAGGATCTAGACACAGTTATTACTGTTCACTTCAAGAGGCACGACAGTTTTTTTAAGCTTTAAATTATATGACTGAACTACGGTGAAACACATGACTTCTGGTAATCGTGATATTTTATTTTATTTATTTATTTTTACTAAATTTAGAAAAATCGTCATTTTATGGGTTGAAAATTGATCAAAACAATATCTACTGTTATGAATCATCCTGAGCCTTGGAAGGCCAAAGCTACATCTACATCAGTACATCTACATTATGACAGAATGTGAACACCGTGTAATCAGAGGGAAAAAGGAGACTGTGAAACATATACATTCTTCCAATTAGTATTTTTCAGTTGTGGCAGAACTGCCCAGACTTGTGCTTTTCACAGCTGTACAAGCATCATTCAGACCCTCATTCTACCCTCCTTATAACTGACATTTTGCTGCCACTTAGAGACTGCCCTATTTTCACTTGCACTTCGATTGCCTCGGCACAAAGAGTTTTGGGCATTACTGGCTTGAGCCAACCGCTCGAACTGCCGCGGCCCAGGACCTCAATGGTCCTCCACCACGCTGATGTTCTCTTCTTGGGATTCTGTGCTGGAAACGTCCTCCACCTGCACACAGGTGCCTTGCAATTCTGTGTCGCTCTGCATTTATCTCTGGCCTGTGGCGGGCACCTGCTGCCTCATATGTCTGCAGTGATGTATATTGGCTGAAGTTAGGCTGAGATCTGAGGGTAAAGTTACAATTTAATTTCCAATGGTGACACAGATAGTTAACATTTTGCGCTGTTCCATTACTCTGCATAATAACTTGGAGCGATTGAGGTCACGAGACCATCCGTTGCTTAGAGTTTTGTCTGGTAATTTACCGTCACCACAACTGGATCAATTACGTGAGCAAGACCCACTTCATTCTAAACACTGACGACTGAGCAGGTGTTAAAATAACATGAACAAACCCTGATGTCTGGTGGGAATTGGTGCAAAATTTCTTCCATTTTCAGAGTGGAAAACAAACTTAACAATGCTGTTAAATCAAACTTCAGTCCTCGTTGCATGGGTTTGTCGAAAAAGGAGGAAGGCAGCTTGTATCAGTGTTCATAGGTCAGTCAAGTGCTGCCATTGGAGCCGTGCACCCAACGCCTGAAGCTCAGACACTGTTTTCATAAATATATCCACAGTTTGTTTTTATCTAGCTTTTAAAAATAATGATTAAAAAAGTAGATAAGTTCATATTTCTTCAGACAGAAAGCGAAGAAAATTCAAGTTTTAGTTTTTCACTTGCTGTTCAGACTTTAATTGCTGTTTGTAAGTTTGTCAATCTGTTTCCCAAATCAGGGTGATTCAGGTGAGCTGGGACTTCCAGGAGCAATCGGAGCAAAGGTATGAATTCATTACCTACTATTTTAATTTTTCTTTTACCCTAGTCAATGTATTGTGATATCTACTCTACAAAACACAGCCAAATGTAAACTGCCCTTGTAGAGGACATGCCAAGTCGACTTTGAGTATTTCTTAAACTTCTCCTATCCCTTTCATTTCTCCAGCCAAGTTCCTACTTTTCTTTTCTCACCAATCTGCTGCCTCACTATTTATCCTCCTCCTTCCCTCCTAAGCCTTCCCATCTGCAGGTAACTGGGCTTCAGCATGTCAGCCATCAAAAGGGGATTTGTGTCTTCTAACAATATGCAAATGTTTGTCAAATATTGTCAGCTGCAGCCTTGACTCAAAGTCTAATCTGAGCACTGGCTATGGTTTTAACATTAATAATGTCTGAATTTAAACAACGATCATGAATGCTGATGCACAACAGTGTGTTAAGTGATGGCTCGTGCTTTTAAAACCACATTTACTTGTACTGATAACCAAATGCTGAATGGTAGCAGTATGGTAGTCGTAGTTCTGTGCAGGAAATGTGAGATTCCTGTCAGTTAATTTACAAAAACCCACATTACCATGGTTACATGCACTTACATCTTTGTATCAACTTTTATCTCAGTTTTTATTTATTCATCCTGAACACTGAATTTACTCCTTTTGTTTCATCCTTTAGGGAGCTCCAGGAGACATCGGTTTACCTGGACGTGCAGGAGATCCTGGACTGGCTGGGTTGCCTGGACCAATGGGACCAGTTGGACCTCCCGGGCCTCCCGGACCTCCTGGACCAAGTTATCGTGTTGGATTTGTAAGTTCTCCTTTGCCCTTTGATAGATGACAAAATGTCATGTTACAAGAGCTATGATGTAATGTTGTTGGGGAGACAGCGAATGATGACGGAATTTAAATTATGAAAACATGTTCAGTAATAATATACAGTACAATACTCTTTTGCATTACTATTAAAATTCTAACTGTAATTAAAGTCATGACTTGACATTCTGACCCTTAACAATCCTAAACCTTGCTATCTGACAGGGTTTTTAGGAAAAACAAATGGAATCCATAAAAAATAGCCTTAACATACCGACAGCCTTGGATTCAGACTCTGACACAACATTTTATGTCACAAATAAGGATAATGGCGTATTATCTGACTGAACAATCCGACAGATTTACTTACCTTTGATGTCAATCGACGGGCCCGTGCACAAGCGCACTGGTCAAATAGGTGTGAGATCCAGCGATGCGTAGTGTTCTAACAATACACTGATTATTATAACAACTATAAACAATAAATATTAACAACAAATGAACCTTCAAGCGTCAAGCCCTCCTTGTATCTCCGACCTCCGTCTTAACAATCCGACAGCCTTGCTATCCGACATAAAAGAAGGTTTTACATCTGGTGTCGGATTGTGTTTGAAGCTCTCAGTGTGTAGCAGAGGTCTTCATGGGTTTCAACACTGGTTCTCATCTCCTAGGGTTCTGGTGAACCTGTGAACACCTCTAGTGTGTAGAAATATAATAAATAAACCAATTTTTCATAAAGAATTTAAAAGTTTTTCATAACATCTTTGTTGTATTTGAAGGATGACATGGAGGGTTCTGGTGGGGTTTTCACCAACGGACTTCCTGGTGTCAGAGGACCAGAAGGAGTACAGGTACATACATTTTTATCAACTTAACGTCCCGCAGAACATCATATATGTCACTTAATGTTACAGGCAAAATTGTAAATAGTTGCACTTTGACGTTTCTCAGTCCCACTATTACAAGTCAGGCTACTAAACTAGCTGTAGCTCTGAAGGGGAGTGTTATATGAGGAGTGTTATTCTAAAACAAGAAAAAAACATCTTCAAACCCTGCACTGTAAAAGCAGGCAGCCAGCTTCCAGAGGATGCAGTGTGGGCTCCTTCAGGTAACTCTTAAACATAGATTAGAGAAATGCTGGTCAACAAAGGATATTTTGTCTAATTAAGAAACTGGCTTGTGAATATTCGGAAATGTAATGTTATGCGTATATTTTGGTATTGTTATGTTGTATTGTTTGCTTGTTGTGGTTGGAGAGTCTGAGGATTTATGAGTCATTTCAATAAATTCAATAAAAAGTGAGGCTCTGACCCCACATCTGATGAGCAGCTCTTGTTTGTGGTCATCTAAACAAGCATATCTGTGTTCCTGGGAGGACAGCAGCAAAACCAGGGCTTTGTAAAATTGTAAACTCAATTAAATCTATTTTGAGTCAAATTAAATCATACAGGTTGTTTGAAATCAAAGGCCTCCAGACAAAGCACCATTATTTCTGTAAAAACAACATGGCATGTATTTTGAATATTGAATATTTAACTGGATGATGATGGGATACTAGAGCTTGCAAGTGACCAAAGGCTGATGTTGTGTGCTTTCAGGGTCCTCCTGGCCTACCTGGACTTCCAGTAAGTAAATAAAGATATTTTTTTGATGATGAGCTGGTCTTCCTGCCCCTTTCCAAACACACAAAACCTTCCTATTTTTAAAGTAAAATCATTTTAGCGATATGAAATATGAAAAGAACTCATAAACAAGCCTGAGGTACAGCTACCTGGGACTGACTCTGTGCTCCCCCAAGTTTATTGATGAGTTCATTTAACATTCAGGTTGGGTTAGTGAAGGTGGACTCATCCTTGATACCAAATAGTACATGCTACTCTACTCTGCTGTCATGTCTTTTTACAAGCATGTTGGTGGCCGTTTCACTGTTTATTGACTGAAATGGAAAAGAGGTCATTTCATGGCTACAAGTGGAAATTCCGAACGCACAAACAGAACTGAACAAGTCCAAGAAGAAAAATACACAAATAGAAGCACTAATACAAAAAGCACTGTAGTTAAGTGCAAAGAAAGCAGCAAGAACGTATCTCAGATGGAAAATGTTGGCAAACACTGAGCGTAAACAGCAACATGACTCATGTTTCTATGGATATCTGCAAAATGTCTGCAAAGTGGCAACCCCCAATCAATAAATGTTAAAATGGCTTTCCGAATGTTTCACTGGTGGTTTGGTTTGATTTGGTCCAAAACCACACAATGGCATTGGACCACATGGTCTGCAAAAAGCAACACAATAAACAGGAAGTAGCTGCAAAGAGCTGCACAACTCAGTGGGATAAATATTTGTTATAAACAACAAATAAGCCAATATCTCCTGTAGTTACATCGTTGTTTACCTCTACATAGATTATCTTCATATCTGCATTCAGATTTGGAGGAATACACAGTCCTATGTGAATGAGCTGCACAGGAAGAGTCAAGGAGATCAAGTATTAAGAGCACAGTAGAGCTAACTGTTGATAGAGGACAAAGTGTTTTGTCTTTGTGCTGTATGCTAGTCGTCTGTGGTTTAACATTCACTTTATTTGTGTGTGTTTTTCTGAATTGAGCTGGTCTAACTTGAATGTACCTCTGCAGGGTAAACCCGGGTTGATCGGTATACCAGGTCAGAAGGGCAGTGAAGGTCCTACAGGAAGAGACGGGCAGCCGGGTCTGGACGGCTTCCCTGGACCACCGGTAAAAAAAAAAAAAGAAAAGAAAAAAAGGATAATTTCTAATCAGACAGATGAGATGAAGAACACTTCAGAGGTTACATAGTGTTAACACAGTGTCAGATGTCTGAGACCTGTGTGTTACGGATGTTGAGGATTTTGTTTGACATGTTACACTACAGACTGAGCCAACTGTCAAAATAAGGAAACACTCACGTTTGTTTTTGTCTGTAACTGTCTGACTTCTTCTAGATGTTTCAACTCCTTCAGTTTGTATCGTGTACCAGAGTCATAACACCATTTATCCCCATGACCATAATAACTAATTTATAAACTCCTTTGTATTGAGTATGTTCCAGGTTATAAAATAGCAACCCCTTATAAATTAATGAGTCAATCAGTTGTGTAAAAAAGTAACTGATATAAAGATTAGACAGTTAAAAACAGCTCACTTCAATTGAAGCTAGACATTAGATTAAAGGTGAATTCAATTTCACATACTTGATAATTCAATTGTTTTTCCATTTTTTTTAACAGGTTTCGAGTATTACATGACTACAATAGAAGAGCAGTGCTTTTGTTGTCTTGAAGTTGATTTGAAAAGAAAGTTGTAGATCTTTTGTCAGACCTTTATGAAGCAGGTATTAGGACATCACTGTTTTCACCTTCCCTGAAATATCTCTTGTCCCACTCTCCTTTATTTTACAGGGACCAAAGGGTGACAGAGGGGACAAAGGAGAGACGGTGAACACTGTTTTTATCATTAAGCAATTATCTGTCAGATGCTCATCCGATATTTTATAAAAACACACACATGCCATCTGACTTTTATCATATTGTCATTTGTTGTCTGTCAGTTGTGGATGTCGTGCTAGACAGGATGTCATTTTTCTTTTTGTGCTTGTAGGGTGAACCGGGTCGAGATGGAACTGGACACCCAGGTCCACCGGGTCCACCTGGACCACCAGGACAAATCATCTACCAGCCATCCGACAACGTAAGTATCAAAACAACACTCAGTAGTCTGAAATCAGCAATCAACCAACTATCAGCCGGAACGTTTGTCTGAGACGATATCCAGCATTTTTCCAATTATCAGTGTTGAGATTTTTTTAAACAAATTAATTATAAAACAAATGAGTGTTAAAATGCTCTTCTCTGGCTCTGATGCAGCTGCTTCTCTATTTCTGTTGTCACTATGTGGTCTCAGTGTCCCACCCAGAGCACGATCTGATACGTGTCAAGATTTCTGTTTGAGTTCATTATGCAAAATTTTGAAACCAAAATTTTCATTTTTAATACAAATATGAAATCAGTTCCAAATCTCAGTTATTGGTCTCACTGATTACTAATAATCTATATCAGCACTGAACAAACCACATAGATCTAACACTTGCAGACATGCACATAAGCAACACTGTGAAGCAGGATTTTAATTAGTTTAAACCGTTTAAATCAGTAATAACATCCATCTCAACTCTATTGTCTGCAGTTTGATGGTGTTGCTGGCAGAGCTGGGCCTCAGGTAAGTTGTTATTATTACATAATAACACTGCAACCCAAATATTACGGCTTCACGCGCGCACACAGTTTTTGTATTTGCACACAAACAAGATATTAGCATCTGTTTCTATGAACCAGACATTCACCAAACATCTTACTCTACAAACTGCATTTTAACTCAGATTGGTTGAAGAGCACGGTCAGATGTGCATGTGTTTGTTTTATATTTAAAGTCAGTAAAACAGAGGACACTGATCTTATGTAAAAAGAAAAATACAGAAAAATAAGTAATATTTTTTTCCTGTACAGGGCGGGCCTGGTTTACCTGGTCAAGCTGGATTTCCTGTGAGTATCCCAGTGTTACATCATTTATAGAGAACATGTGGACTGTATTAAAGGTTTCTGTTTGTCTAAAATTGAGTCTAAAATAACACGGTATTTATTAACTGGAAAGCACATGTCTTTTCACCGGACACATGTAGCAAATACTGTTGACAGTTGTTCTCACATTAAGATGCGAACCACAATCTTCAAACCACTTTGTGACATTTTCTGTGATCTGCAGCTAACTGCCGCGTTTTATTGTATTCATGTCTGGGCAACAATGACACAAATGAAAGGGCTGGGATGGACTCAAATCATTGTTGTCTTCATGAGATTTGTTCACAATAACAGAAATATAGAATATTAGCAAACTCAGACTTCAATAAAGAGATTAGACTGTCAGTGTTGAATTTGTGTGTGTGGGGACGTGACCCCGCTGCTGACATTTGTATTCTAGACTGTGTTCCTTTTCTTAATCCATATCCATTACTATCATTTGGCAGGCATTAAAAGCTTCTCTGACTCACAGTCATACTACATTGCACTTCATCTACTTCAAAAAGTGGACAACATGTAGTTCTCCACTCAGCAGATCAGAGCAGTGCTGCGATGACAGAGACTAATAGGATGTCTGATTACGCTGGTTAGAACTGATCTACGAGGACAAAGAGTTTCTAGCTGTCACATGACTGTTAATCTGACCCCTTCTTAGTTTTTCAAGTGTCATGTTTGTATTGAATCTATCTCCCAGGGTCCAATTGGACCAAAAGGTGACAGAGGAGACCCCGGTCCTCCAGGCTACGCAGTGAAGGTAAAATCTAATTTGTCGTTCAACGATTCATTTAGCCCCTTGTTAACATGGAGACACCCGTTTCACCCAGTCTGTGTTGTCTTGTCGCTGCTGCTGCTGTGTGTTCAGGGAGAGAAAGGGGAGCCTGGCTTAGTAATTGGACCAGATGGAAATCTTCTGTATCTGGAAGGGCTGGGTGGTTCGAAGGTAAAGTCTCACTGCATCCGTCTGTCTGTCCGTCCTGATGCCTGTTCTGATCTACCTAAGCTGTTCTGTGAGTTTTGTTCTGGTGGTATGTCTGTTCTTTAAACTAATTTTCTTTCTTTCTTTTTTTTTTATCCCATGCATCTAGGGAGACAGGGGGGTTCCAGGACCTGTTGGACCCCCTGTAAGTGTTAGAGTTTCTAAGATTACGTGCTAACTGTGAAAATGAATGACTGTATTTTTGCAGTTTCACTTTCTTGTTGACTCACACTGTCTTATTTCATGATTTATTGTTGCAGGGCCAGTATGGGCCTCCTGGATTAAAAGGTGAAATTGGAATGCCTGGAAGACCTGTAAGTGCTCCATTCTTGCTGTCTGATGTTGTTATATTTTTACATGTATTGCTATTCTGTGGTTATATAATGGACCACATACATTTCTGCTGTATATCATTACATTAGTGTAGTTTTTACCCCTTTGTCTCTATTATTCCAAGTGCAGATATTAAATCAAAGACTTTTTCTGTTCAGGGTCGCCCTGGTGTCAACGGATACAAGGGTGAGAAAGGCGAGCCAGGAGGTGGAACTGGCTATGGCTACCCTGTAAGTAGTAATATTACCTGTAGTCTGACTCACCACATGTACACTTTGGGTATAAGCCGTCCAATTCCACTGCACACTTTCTCCTCCCCTTCCACTGTTTTTTGTTTATTTTGGTAAATAACTCTTATATACCGAAACAATTCACTATTTTGCAGCGGCACCATTGCTGCATCCTGGATTTAGCACCACCCAAGATGACTGTGATTGGCCTTCAGTTAGAGAGCTTATTCCCTTATTGCTGCAGAGCTGCAGAGAAAGGTCTGGCTATGTAAGACTATACAATTACCAATAGCTGGCAGACTTCACAGCTACAGCAGCTATTCAAGAGAGTTCGACATCATCTTGCTTATTCTACAACCAACAAACCAGCTCAAACTCTACTCAGATCTCACAAAGACTCGTGCCAGCCACGGGTGAAGCTTGTCAAGAACCGCACACACTCAGTGAAAAGGAGGAGGGTTGCATTGTGCATAGAAAATGGGCTAGCTTTTGATTTAGCTTACTTGTTTTTAATAAGCCTTGATTTAACGAGGCAACCTTGGCTGCTGCTCAACCTAACTTTTAGCTCACTAGCTAGCTATGTTCTCTTCAGAACATTTCCCCTTGGAAAAGCTCCCATGTAGCACCAATGAGCCGACCCTTGTTTAATGGTACAAATTCTGCTCTGCATGTATGTCTTGGAGGAAGAACTTGCGATGAGTGTTGCTTTTCCTTTCAAACTGTTTTTTGATGCCACCATGCCAAATGTTGATAGACATGGATGTAGATACACCTCTTCACGGGAGGGATTTTAAATTCTAACCAAAGCTGTACTTGTTTACATCAATGCAAACAATAATTGATTTGGATATGTCATTTTATTTCATTGATACTATCTCAAATTTCTCAACTTCCAAATGGGCTACCAGTCTGTATAAACAACAGAAAAACAAACAAACAAACAACCTTGTTTTCATTAGGGAGTCCCTGGCCCACCAGGACCACCGGGACCACCTGGACTCCCTGGGCCAGCCATACCTGTAGATCGATTCAATGTGAGTAATAAGAACCCACACCTCATTCTCTGACTTACATTTTGGGCATTCATACGTATCAGTTAAAGTCGATGTCGCTCATGTACCCTAAACTAAATCTTTTTTCTTTGCTGCTTTTTGTTTTTTTCTCTTCATAGCGCTATGATGACACTTCAAGGAATTACCCAGGTAGGATGTCCCCATATGCAATATTTATTATTTTAACATCAAAACAAAATACAGCAGAACAGAACTCCTCAAAGAGACGGATCAGAATGGAGAAGTTAAGTAAACGTGACAAAGGAGGAGAGATTTATAAAGGGTTTAACGTGTCTGGAGAGATGAACAGTTCTATCTTAATTTCAGTTTGGTCCTGCTGCTTCAGCCTGAAGTGGATATACACTCTACTGTCAAGAGATTAAGCTGTCAAGACTGAATCTGAAGAATGAGTAGATAAAACAGAAGAAAACCACTATCAGTAACGCATGATGTGAAGTGTTGTGGAGTGCTAAACTCAGTTACACCGGTGAAGCATGTGAAGCTACTCTGAGCTATGTAGAACTGAATTGTGGAGCTAGACTGTTGAACTGTTTTCAGCGTTTCAGTGTTGGGGATTTTTGTGGTTGGGGCAGAAATCACGGCTCAATGACGCACCAGAGCCATACTTTGTGTTGCACATCACCCAGTTGTATTAGCATCAGTGGATCTAAAGTATCTCAACTGTGGGAGCAGCAACCCTTTAAGTTGATTTTATGTGGTGCTGTGTGAGTTTATCTTTAATGAAACATTAGCTAAAGTCAGTGCAAGTAATGCTGTATTGGTCTTTTTCTCTGATGTTTAATGTGATCCTCAAAACCAGACCTCCTCTTCTTCATCTTATCACTGGTAACACATTTAAATAAGGAGATCACACTGTTTTGCAAATTTTGCATAGCTTGCTATCAAACTGTGCACTGCAGCAGGTGTAAAGTTGTGATCGAACAGGAGAACCTGTCACCCACTAAACGTGGGTAAATTTTTTTTTTTAGCATGTTAATTAACGGCACAATTTGAATTGTGTTCTGGCTCTTGTGGCTCAAGCTTGTATGGCTGTACAAGTCCAATGAAGCTGCTGGACCGAGGATCTAGTTTTCAGGTTGTAGTGTATTTGACACTTGAGAGATTTCACCTTTCCTCTGTGTTTGGATGTAATTTCAGCACCTTCAGTGTGCACGTCCCCAGCTTTTCAGGGAAAAAAATGCTTATTATTTTGGGCCTTGACTTTTGACTTTGTCATTTAAATTTAGCCGTGTGGTTAGTAACACGTTTTAATGAGGTGTGACAAACTCAGAACACAAATTAACATGGCTTTTAAATATGTTGTAATTTGTCGTAGTGGTTAAAGGAGAAAAAGGAGAGCGTGGACTTCAAGGGATCCCAGGTAAACTCTAGAGTTTGCATAAATAAATGCACTTATTACTAATATGACATATACATGTATGTGTATATACATACGTCTGCAGGACAGTTTGTTTTTCTAACGCATCTTTCTTTTTTTTCAGGAACAGCCTCTAATTTCGATATTTACACATTTAAGGTAAACTACCTTCCCAGTACACCACCATCAGTTTTCTTAGTATGCTGGATGTACTGTCAGAGGAAAAACCATCATAACATTAAATGTTTTCCAACAGAATGAACTGAAGGGAGAGTCTGGAGACCCAGGTGTCAAGGGAGAAAAGGGAGAGCCTGGTGGTGGATATTATGACCCACGTTTTGGAGGACTACAGGGCCCACCAGGGCCACCTGGCAACCCAGGTCTACCGGTGAGTTCTGAGAGTACAGTGTCTCACTCATATGTTTTTAGATCCTGGTTTGTGAGAAGATCTCTGGTTTTACTTGGTTGGTTAGCAGCAGACTAGTTATCATAAACAAAAGTTGTTTGTCCTGAATAGATGTTTGACATTTCAGAAATATATATCATGTTATAGGAATTTAGAGTTTTCTTTTCTGTTAGGGTCCAAAGGGAGAGTCCATAGTAGGCCCTCCTGGACCCCAGGGACCACCGGGGCCAACAGGGATTGGATATGATGGGCGTCCAGGTCCTCCAGGACCACCTGGACCTCCAGGACCCTCAGCGTCTCCCTCACTTCCAGGAGCATATAGGCCCAATCCCCGTAAGTGGCCTTTTTGCTGGTTAAAAATATTCTGAATAATCCCTACAGGGTTCAGATGTTACTAATAAAGTCTCTTAAACAACTAGTGTTGCATTAAGCTATACTGTTTGCACTTTAGCCGCTGACTGGTAGAGACAAATTTCACTTGATCTGTTAAAATGACAAACCACTGACAAGCTTTACTTTCATGTTAAAGCTGTCAGTGTCCCTGGACCTCCTGGTCCTCCTGGCCCACCTGGAAGTCCGGGTCTTTCGTCTGGGGTAAGTTCAATAACTTAAATCACAATTCATACATCAATCTGCAGACTATTTCAGTTGTGATACAACTGAATGAGTGTGTCTTAGATTTATATCTGATAAAATATGCCATTTAATCATTTAGTTATTAATTGTACCTCCAGGTGTTTCACAGTTCATTTGTTCTCTCCAGGTCACAGTTTTGGGGTCATATGACACAATGATTGCTACTGCCAGAAGCCAAGACGAGGGCAGTCTCATCTACATCATAGACAAAGGGGACCTTTACTTGAGAGTACGCAACGGACTGCGGCAAGTCATGGTACGATCATCTACTTCCCAATAGTGCAATTTGTTGAATTTCATCATCGTACTGAAAAAGGCGTTTAAACTATCGGCCATACCACAGAACTTAAATACGATTAGATACTAAAGTTGGAGTTCTAAAAATCTTTTTGGCTATTAGGTCACATTAAAAAAAAAAAGCTTGTATAGCTGCTGCTATGACCCTAGTTTAAAAAAAGATGATGTTGTCACCATGAGTTTATGCAAAAAGCACTAACCAGCTGTTTCCCTTCCTCCCAGCTCGGCCAGTACAGTCCCTTCTTCAGAGATCTGGTAAGTTCTCCAGAGTAATAAAACACTATATTTGACATTCACTGACTGATTGTAATTTCTAAATCTATGTTTTTCCTTTAAAGGAGAACGAGGTGGCAGAGGTCCAGCCGCCACCTGTGATTCTGTACCCCCAGTCCCAGGACCAGTCGCAGAACAACGGAGCAGGCCACTACTCCCAGGGTGGTTCTGCCATACGACCGCTTGAGCCACCGCCAAACCCACCCGTCGATCCCAGATACCCCCCGCAGTATGAGCCCCGATTCCCCGACCAGAGACACACAGGTCACACAGATGGAAGATTAGCCACTGAGAATAGACACCCTGTGACTCCAGCGCGGCGACCCAGCCCACCTGTGCCAGAACCTGCGGGCCGCGTTGACACATTGGGATCAGCAGTGAGTAGAGCTGAAGCAGGAGAGCTCGGACATAAGATATCAATCTGCCTCATCATGAAGGCTGCTGTGTCACTTTGTTGTAGTGTTAATTGGTATAAAATCATGAATGGATTCTAAGAACTTAAATTATAACATTATTGAATAAAGTTTATTTTCATATAGTGCAGAAAATAAGCATGAGCCGTGGAACAGCTGGGACATTACAAATCATAAAACCTGAAGACAGGAATGAGATTCAAACAGTTCCAGCCTTGCTTTTAAATCCTTTCAACTTTAAACATGTTTTGTTTGCTCTGGGTGAATGAAGACGTGTCAGCTTGAAAAATGTGCTGCTTTTATCGTTTCATTCACTCAGCATAGGACCAAATACATTTCAAATGTTTTGTCTAACAAAAAATAAAAAAATGTATATTTAAGAGTCTAGGTTCATCTAATCACGTTAACGACACAAGCGGCCGTTTCAATAATGATTTAGGGGTCAATTACCTAATTGTCTAAACCAGAGACGTTGTACTGAGCGGAGGGGCTGTAGGGCTTTCACCAGATATTTTATCACTGCTCTGTGACATTCATTTGCCCTGTCCTGATTCATTTTGCTGTGAAGAAAAACCGTTCCTCCCTGTAGGCTGCAGCTGCATAAGCCACAGAGGCTCAGAAGTAGAAATTATATTAATTCCACTTATTCATAGAATGAATGGCAATAAAGTGAAACACTAATTCTTGAGTGCGTGTCATTACCACAAGGTAGACTTACTGTGACAGGCCAGAGAATGTGGTGTAAGGTTGGCAGTAAACTGATGCGATGCACAAGCAGATAAGACGGCAGATAATCGTTAAACAAAGTGCTCGTCATTCCTCCCAGAACCAGTACATGCTGCAGTTGTTTGCTGATTTTGTAAAGTTTAAGCTGGCCTGCCATCTTGTTAACAACAATGGTTCATCACATGTTGATATACATCAGTCCGTAGCTGTGTCATAAAGACGCAAACAAACTTTGAAGAATGAAAGTTCTGGTAAATGAAAGCTCTCTCAATGTATTCATGGTGTAAACTTTATCACTGTTAGTCTGCAATACATTTTCTTGTAACAAAACCAGATTAGCGATAAGGCTCCTGTTTTAACATGAACCTGTGATCCTGTCTTCACCAGCTCCACCTCATCGCCTTGAACGCCCCTCAAACCGGTAACATGCGAGGAATCCGTGGGGCAGACTTCCTGTGCTTCCAGCAGGCCCGTGCTGTGGGTCTGAAGGGAACCTTCAGAGCCTTCCTGTCCTCCAAGCTTCAAGACCTCTACACCATCGTCCGCAGGTCGGACAGGGACAGCTTCCCCATCGTGAACCTCAAGGTGAGATTCTGATGCTCGAGAAGTGAGGAAGTATTAACAAGTACACCTGCAGCGCTGACGGCAGAGTGTGAAATACACAGTGACAATCAGGGGTCAAGGCTTTCCTTCCTGGACATAAAGGGAAGTGCAGTGCAGGTGTGTGCTTCAGTCAACTGAAGTCGTACAAATCCTAGAGTATCTTGATGGTTGAACATAAAGTCTTTATGCAGACAATGATAACTCAAATGTATGATATCCTCTCATACCACACAGCAACTTTTGTAGCCAACCTACAAAGTATTCCAGAGCACTATTAAACAGTATGCTGATAATAAAAAGGTATCACAAAGCCCTGCTGTTAAAAACAATATTATTTACCATTTTATTAGTATCGGTAACGAATGGCAGCGTTTTAATAGAACCCGTATTTCTTCTCATATTCGGGCAGCACTGTGCTTCCACTGTCTGCAGGATAAGTGTGTGTGACCACCAGTTTTTTCCTTCCTTTGTAAGCAAACCGCTGTTTTCATAGTGACAAAAAGAGAGCCGTAACTCGCCGACCGTTGCACGGATTGTTGACAAAGCGGACATACACAGCAAAACATGGTGTTGTTTAACTGACAGCCAACAGTGAAGGCCAGCCCACGGACAGCACAGAGCCTGTACGAGTGACTAATGCTAAAGATCGCTCAATAGTCTGAAAATGGCAGCTGGGTTCCTAAATTCTAAGTCGTAAGAATAGACTATGAGGATGTAAGCCGCTGCAGTGATAAAAGTCAAGGTTAAGAAATGGTCTGGTCCATTTTAGGGGTGTCTGATAAAGTTAAACAAGTATTGTTCAGGCAAGAATACAGGACATAGAGTGTATGGTAAAATGTACAATTGCAAGGAAAGAGAAATAAATGTTTTGAGACTGAAAGACACAATTGGAAAGTTCTGAATAAGACTATTCCTGAGTGGTGCAGTTTCTTGGATATGTATTCACTGCTCTCTAACTATGCTCCATGTATCTTGCTGCTTTATGAACAACAATCAAACATACCACTGTTTTGTTTTGTTGTTGTTTTCTTTGCAGGACCAAGTGTTGTTTAGCAGTTGGGAGTCCATCTTTGGTGACAACGCCAGCAAAATGAGGGAGAGTACCCCTATCTATTCCTTTGATGGTAGAGATATCCTCAGGGACAGCGCATGGTGAGTGTTTGTTTAATCTGAAAATCATATTTTTTCTGTTGTTTCCTTTGCTGATTTACAGTTGTATTTTTTTTATACTCAGTTGTTTTCGTATTTGTAGCCACATACTGTATATTCTGACCTCTGTTTTTGATCACCTCCAGGCCTGAGAAAATGGTTTGGCATGGATCAAGCAACAAAGGCCACCGGCAAACAGACCACTACTGCGAAACATGGCGGGCAGGCGACCGCGCTGTCTCTGGTCTGGCATCGTCTCTACAGAGCGGCCACCTCCTGCAGCAAACCTCCAGCAGCTGCTCCGGCTCCTACATTGTCCTCTGCATCGAGAACGCCCTCACATCACCCTCCAAAAAATAAATCCCGTCCATCCTCCATTTTTTTTTTTTTGTGATCTGTTGTTTTTTTTCTATTTTTATGTCCAAGCAGACATGTTTTTTTTTTTTTTTTAGTTGTTGTTTTTTTTAATTCCCAGACAACGCAGCTTGTGAATATGCGGCGTCCAATGAACTGGCCCTGTGGCACTTCGCCTGGCAGGGACGCTTTGCATCGTCTGCTCCTCCCCTCCATATACGCCAAAGAAATGGTTCAAACAGAGGGGTGTTGGTCCTTTTTCTCGGGGGCATTGGCACATATTTTCTTCAAGGGGCAGAACAACAGCAGAGAAGCTGAAAGCGTTCTCAAATTGTATCCCTTTTTTTTAAAAGAAACAAATTCTGTATATTACATGTTTGTCATTTGTGTTCTTTTTTTTTTTTGATGTTATCAATGTTTTACCTTTTGAACTGTTTTTAAAAATGCTATATCCATCCTGTTATTGTTTTTATTTTTATTTTAGGTATTGATCATTTCCACATTTTTTTTTTCCAATTTCAGTTTAGAATTTCGGGTTCCGATGGGGTACAGCAAACTTTTAAAGACTATTTTAAATTTTTAAAAAAAGATAATAGATATTTATTTTTAAATGAAGTTATGTAAGGACAAAAAAATAGAAAATCTAAAAAAATGCTAAATACCCTCATTTATATTTTACACCACGCAGAACATTTACGTCTTTATTCAATAGAGCCTCCGATCAGAAACTGTGCCTTATAACACACCGTGGACTGCTTTACACAATAAGCTCATATAGTGAAACACATTATTCTGCAGATACGGAAACGTTGCAGTAGCTACATGACTGTAAAGAATAATCCCACATCTGGGGGGTGAAATTCCTTCAAGCGAAAACTGCGACTTTGAAATGATTATATCCCCTTTCGCCACCTTATAAAAAGCTATCAGTGAGTAAAGCTGGAGATGATTAGTTTGCTGCTAATCTGTGTTGCAGTGAGTGTTATCGCGATTGTTAGGGACAGAAAAACCAGTATGTTAAGGAGAACGTTTTTCCAGTAGCCTCGCATGACATTTCAGAGACTAACTTGGCCTACTGATGTCTTGACTGAACCTGTGGATATCCATTTTTTTTTTTTTTTTTTTTTTTAAAGTAACAAAATTGCGTTGTACTGTTTCTCCCAGGCACTGAATTAAAGTCTTTTTCAACCAGTACTGTACACTGGTCTGTACAGTGTGTTGAATTCTTTAATCGCTCAACCAAATCAAGCATCGCATAAAGACGTCCAATGACACCGTGACCTTGACAGCTTTCACTCAGCAGGCCTGACCAGCAATTTTATGACCTATTCAAAGGAATGTTGCTGATGGCATTGACTCCACCACAAATCAGTTTCTCCAGTGGCAATGATCGTGCACGGTCATACATCATCTACTGACCTTCACAGTCCCCTGTAAGATAATTCAATTCAACATAAAATCACCATCACATCATAGGATTGATAATATATTTCTTATATATTAAATGAGACTGTGTTCATGTAGAAGGTCATGAATGTTAATTAGTTGATCTTATAGTGCAATACGACTATAAACAGAGGCACCTTCTATTAAAGGGAAATGGTAAAACAAACAAAAAACATATATAATAACAAGCATTTTGAAATGAATCCATGCACAATATTTAAATTTCTGGCCGATACCGATATCTGATACTAAGATTTCTGATATCGCCGATAACCGATATTACCGATGTCGATATTCAATTTTTGTTCACCCCGAAAAATGATTTTAAGTAAGCTCTGTGAGAAACTATTCAAAAGAAGCCCGTACCAAATTAGACCACACAGTCTTCTTTACGACGCAAAAAAAGTAAAACATATTTAAACATATTTTAACATATTTAATGTTCAAGTCCAGGACCATTTAAGTGAAAACATCTGTGAAATAGCAGCAATATCAAACGTAGAGACGAAAGCGCTAACGTTAGACAATCATCAGTTTTTCACATTGACTCAATTTGTTCATTGGACCGATACCGATATATCAGAAAAAACACTAATATTGGCCGATACTGATGTGGTTGTCGATATATCGTACATCCCTTTAAAAAAAACGTTGCATTAAGCCCTTTGTGCCTGCAGAGGGAGCTGTGTGGAATCTAATAAATTGCCTCAAGTGATGTCATTTAAGTCAGTGCTCGAGTCAAGTTTGATACTGAAAAAATCTGAGCTGATGGCGTAGACAGAACCAACCTCACCACGGCGCTAACTGTCCCAACGCTAATCTCCATGCCGAGTGCGCTGCACAACATGGAAGCAATCGAGAAAACATTTTTACCATATAACTGGGAAGGCAGTTCTAATTTAAATGTATGGGAACCATCTTGGAGTCCAGTGTCAAGACGTAACAAAGCATTAATGGTTTAAACTAGGGCTAGGTTGTACATCAACTCCTTAAAGTCCCTCTTGTTGATATGTAAACACCTAAAAAGTCAAATAAAATACTGTATTAATCCCCAAGGGGAAATTAGGTTGTTACAGCTCAAAGATCAAGTTATCACCACCATAAATACTGATAAACAAGCAAAAATAAACAATAAGAATATAAAATGCAAAATGTACAATAAGTGTTATATTTCAAGTAGAAAAGTAGGAAGATACTTGTGTAGAAAAGCTACATATTCAGAAGTTTGTCGCATTAAAATGATCCCCTCATACAACGTTGCCTCCTCTAGAATATCCAGATCTATAAAATAATCACCACTCACTCCTCCCCACTCGCTGCAGCTTCAGGACACCAGCTCTCCTACATTACTGCTCAAACACTGTAAAGTTAATTCACACTACACAATGGAACCTGTAATATTCAGGAATTCAGCCATACATGCTTCATCCTGAAACCAATTCTGTCTTTTTTCTTTTTGAACTAAATTTTATTAATCAATCTGCAAAATCCAACATAATACAGTACAGTGCACGAATTATATGGCTTACAGATTCATGTTTTTCTTTTTTTTCCTGAACAGCAACTGAATTTCCCTCCCCTCCCTACTCATAGAAACACAACAATGAGTAAATGATAATCCAAAATACAGAAAAAGAAAAAAAAAATCATAATAATTATAATAAATAAACTAAATCAAAGTAAAATAGACAAACCAAGATGATGCGATTGGTTCTTCAGGTTTGCTACTTATGAAAACCTGGGCGCCTGTGCACTTGAGACTGTCATCAGTATATTGAACCTTAAAGCTGAAAATGCATGAAAAATGAATTAACTTCTGATTAGGAAACCACTTTTAAATATTTCGGATGAATTTTTGTTGTTGCATTTATTTTCATCGCTGTCTCAGAAATCTAAAAAGTGCTTCTGACATCTCACATTTGGCTCTGAGTTACAACATTTAACCCAGTTTGTAAAAAAAAAAAAAAAAAAAAGCCTAGCTATACAGTACATCACCAGTTAGAGCTATAATGTTTGGTCCATATCGCCCAGCCCTAGTTTATACTGGGTTAAAGTAACCTAATAACCTCCCAAAGTAAATAAGGGCTAATAGCTCCAGGCTACATTAGTCCCCAGTAGTACAATACACTCAAGTCTCTAATGAAATTGTCAGGGGTCAAGTTGCATTGTGGGTAATTGAGTCACTATGTTCTGATAAGGAAGAAAAATGTGTGGACGTGCTGCATCAGCTTTGTCCACTGGAGCCCTGACCGAGTTCCAGGAGAGCAACACAAAATCAGCAGATTACTCAGAACTAAGGTACTAGTACAAACTTGCCTGAACACACAAAGACTGACGTTTTTCTAAATGAAACTACCAGGATATCGTGGATACATTGGCTGCGGGTCTACAAGCAATGGGGATTTTAAAGGAGAACTAAATTAGGTCACCAGTCATTCATGGTGGCTTATAAAATCCCCTCAAATCTCTTCCTTAAAGTTAGGAGGCGTTCAAGATAATATTTGATTAAGAAGATTAATTCAAATTACTTAGAGATGACCCAAATTGGTAGTTACTTTAAAATGGTAAGCCCGGCATAAAAGAGTTTCTTACCTTGAGGTCGCTACGGCGGACGGTATCTTATCTCTAATGCTGGTGAGCTGTGATCATGTGACACAGCTAAAGCTAAAGATGACGGAATATTAAGATCAGCATTCAGGAGAACGACCACACCATGCCAATGTGGTGTTTAAAACAGACGTTCTTCTACATCTAGGTATAAATTATGTCCTTACAGACATAATCTGAAGTGTAGTTAAGGTACAAGAACACATTCTACAGCAATCCAATGTGCTCTCTGTTCACATCTATGGGCTTGTACTCTCATTTTTGCTAAACAGTGCAGTGAAATGTACATGTAATGATATGGGCCAATAATGTAACTGTTTTTTCCAGGCTCAGAAAACGAGGTGTTGAGACCAAACTGCTGTACAACGGCTTGTTTTATGAGATATAATGAGGAATATTAAAACGATGTTGTATCAGCAGTGCTTTTTGTACGTGGAAGGGCACTTGGAGAGAGCAGACCTCCTTCAAGAGCAGTAGACCATCCTTCGATGATAAGTTAGAGTGTAAAACCTTAATGACACAACATTTAACAGGTTCTTCCTTTGCTCTACCTTTCCACCAAGTTTCACCGGCTTGGTCGTTTTTTCAAAATTCAGTAAATGGTTATGAAAACATACCTTCCTTGATGGAAGCGATAGAAGCTGTGCTGTGAACGGGTCAAGCAATATTCACATGATGATTCAATTTGGTTCTAATGTTACTGCATTTTATATTGAGGAAATCAGCTGGCAAGTAGCGAACTACAGGACAATTATTTTGTGCTAATTAAATCATTTTTCTTCCAGCACATGCACTATGAGGATATGGAGAATGTGTTCATGTTTATGTGTGCCGTGACAGGAGTGAGTTATAGCAGCTGCACCGCACAGTTCTCCTGTGCTGCTACTTTTAAACATCCAAATGGTAAAAATAGAATAAGGTAAACACTGAATATTAAAAGGAAAAATAAACCAGTTTCAGGTAAGATTGGGGACACAAACTGGGAAATGTTGTTGTGAAGACAAGCCTGTGTAAAGTATGGGAAACAGCAGTGTGAGTAACCAGGTTGGAGCATGTCAGCCTGGAACGGAAAGCACACATCTCGCTAATAAATCAACAAATCTGTGTGTTAGTGTGTGTTCTACACTTGTCTTGACAACAGTCTTGGCAGGTGTATTACTGGGGACACGAGATAAACACTAACCAGCAGTCAGTCATGATGGTAGTGCAGGGAGGACTCAGTCACGCAACAACGTCATTTGCGATGACAACAGCGCTTCACAAAAATGGTAACGTCCCGTTAAAGAATGGATTC